TTTTAAACTAAATTCTTAGTTCAGTATGTGCACACAAATTTTCAGATCTTTATCATAATAGAAGGAGTGCGGAGAGACTTTTGTTTACTACTGTATCTATTGATTCTATGTTTAAATGATTAAACGCTCACTTGCTTTTGATTACATGAAATTTAAATAATAATATATAAATTTGCACATCAACACATGAATGTTCTGTTTTTTTTTTAAATAAGTTGGGAACTGACATACTTCAAGTCACTTAAGAGAACTTCCATGAGCTGGTCGAGCATCGCTCCAATATACGAGGCATTCGATGCTCTCATGGACGTTCTCTTAAGATCAAAAAAGTGATCTATTGTTTTTAATCTATTTATTTAATTAATATTAAGATTTTTTCAGGATGGATTATGTACAGATTGAGAATAGATTATTTTCGAAAATAAATTATCATAGTTTATTTACAAAAAAATGATGCCAAGATTTATGATTAACTATCAGAAACATGTCTGAAAGAGTTTTTCATGTATGTTAATTTCTAGATGAAACAAATTAATAATATTCCATAAGCAAATGTTTTCTATTTATTAAATTTAAAAATATATATATAGGTAGTTAATCTGTCAGAGATTGGATGAAATAGAAACTTAATATTTAAAAATAGTGTTATCAACTGCATTAGTAATGGTCAATGATTATGATAATGAAAGATGGTAATCAGCTTGATCGCGCGTGTAATACGATGGTGTGTTTCTCACAGTATTTTTACTTTGCTCCGTACTCAGATGATCTAGAAAGTTTGTTTTTTTTTTCTTGAAAAATATGTCACGAAGTTCTTTCAAACCTTTGAACGCCTGAATTAGATTGAACAAACTTTTTGAAGATTATAGCAAAGCTACATGACATAAAATAGCTATGAAGAGAAAGAGAAAAAAAAATTGATGGATGGTATACTTATTCTTTATGTTTGTGCTAATGTATGTTATTTTAATAGAACCGTTCAATAATTATTTGTAGCCGATAATTTAGGATATTGAACGAACAAAAAAACAAATTTCTCAAATAGGATTCTTATTTTCATAAAGGATTGGTTTAGTTAACATGATCTCATAATGCTTACTTATATAATTTATTTTTTCTTCTTACCTTTCTCTTCCTAGGTGTATAGCTGTGTCAAAACAAGGTAATATCTTTTTCCCGATTGTCAAATAAATATTGGTGTTAAATGTTATTTTTAACACATTGTTTCAATACAAAAGACATCAGAACAAAAAAAAAACAAGTCAAAGAACTTAATGTGTGAGCTGTGAATGACATATAGTTTATAGTTGACTTTAGGTTAGCTTATCTATAACCACTTGAAATATTTTGCTTTTACCTAAGTACATGACAGAATAGAACAGAATGAATTCTATATTTGGACATGAAATAAATTCTTTTATGTATCTATTTTTGTTTTGAGACTAAGCACAACTTGAGTGAAATATTTATTCATCCTGAAAAATACCAGATGTTCCAAAAGTTTGATGGAAAAAGAAACGCGAACATCTCTTTAACTATTCAAGATGTATCCGTGAAGTTTTTATAGTTTCATTTCATATTCATGAAAGTTTTATTTCATATTAATTTGTCTACAGTTGATGCAAAAAAATAATAAATTGCAGATGTAATACATAAACTTATTCTATCCAAAAAACAATTATAAAAACATTATATAAAGTTTATTTTCAAATCATTCTAATATTATTCTAAATTTTCATTTTCAACTTAACCAAATCTTTAAAGGAACAATGGATACGTTCACACAATTTCAAAATAGTAACGCGAATAGAATATTCATGTGATATTCAATAATCAATCTAAACCATGAAGTATTTCGTATTGGCACAATTAATGCATAATAAAGATCAAATATCAACGAAACATGATCGATCATTCATATGAAACAATATTTCTATAGTCTGTCGCAGCAACCTATA